AAACCCTAACCCTGAACCCTTAACCCTTAAACCCTAAACCCTTAAACCCTTAAGCCCTAAACCCTGTGCACAACCTCCTCAGCCCGAACCTTTAGAACTTCAGAGAGGCTTTGGGCTGTGGGGTTTGGGGGTTGAGCTCCAAACTCGAATAAGCGGCCTTACGATCATCTGCGCGAAAGCCGGAGTCGGACCTTAAACCCAAAACCCTAAACCCTAAACCCCCCTAAACCCCCCTAAACCTCCCTAAACCTCCTTAAACCTCCCTAAACCTCCCTAAACCTCCCTAAACCTCCCTAAACCCAAAGGCCTCCCTAAACCTCCCTAAACCCTAAGGCCTCCCTAGACCTCCCTAAACCCTAAGCCCTCCCCAAACCTCCCTAAACCCTAAGGCCTCCCTAGACCTCCCTGAACCCTAAGCCCTCCCCAAACCTCCCTAAACCCTAAGCCCTCCCTAGACCTCCCTGAACCCTAAGCCCTCCCTATATCAAATAGTTTTAGGGTTAAGGACCCGAGCACCGAAAGAATTGAAAGCCCAGAAACGAAACCTAAACTAACCCGAACACCGCCCTCCAAACAGCTTGGTTCGCGGCTGCCATACTTTGCTACTTCTTTTTGGGACCTCTGTTCTAAAATGAACGCTTGTGACAGGGTTTAGGGTTTAGGGTTCAGGGTTTAGGGTATAGGGTTTAGGGTTTAGGGTTTAGGGTTTAGGGTTTAAGGGTTTAAGGGGTATAGGGTTTAGGGTTTACTTGTCTCTCCCTGGTTACTTCAGAGCCCCAAACAACATGTCCTGCAGGCGTGGCCAAGTGGATTCCGCAGAGCATGAGGTGTGCCGGGCGAGAAGCAATACGGTTGATGATACAAATCCTGCATTACCCAGAATAAAGAATATACCATAATTCCCATAGTCTAGGCTTCTTAAGGTAATGCAGGATTTAAATCATCAACAGTACGGGGCTTTCTTTCTTGAATAGGGGTTCAGGAGCGGTTTAGGGGATGTTATTGCTGATTGTCTCGACCTCTGAATAGCATGCGATGCAGGGTTAGAGCCCAAAGCGCAAAGCCCAAAACACCAGGGCACGCAGGTCTCAGGGTTTACGATTTAGGGTTGAAGGTAACCCTCACCTTCCTCAGACGTAACCCTTCAAGGAAGCCCTAAGCCCTAAACCATCCTCACTCCTAATATAGAAGCCTGACTAAGTGCCAACACCTTCTGCTAGGGTTCCGTATTCTACCTATACTGTTATAATAAAAGTAGGGTGTAGGGTTTAGGGTTTAGGGTTTAGGTCAAAACGGACCCTAAGACTCCAAACCATCCTCAACCCTAAACCCGAAAGCCTCAATGTCGTTGTCTCCATGACGCTTATAGAACCCGATTAGATCCCTTTAGAGGAAACCCTAAAACCCTAAACCCTAAACCCTAAACCCTAAACCCCAAACCCTAAAAGAACCCTAGAGAACCCTAGAGATCCTTACCTTGACCTGCCGAAACGGTTTAGGGTTTAGGGTTTAGGGCTTAGGGTTCAGGGTTTAGGGTTTGGGTTTAGGGTTTAGGGCTTAGGGTTCAGGGTTTAGGGTTCAGGGTTTAGGGTTTAGGGCCTACTTTTTTGTCATCTCTCCTTCAAAGCCCTAATATGGCATTTATCGGGACTCAACCGTAAACCCGAAACCCTGATATGGCATTTATAGGGACTAAGCCCTAAACCATAAACCCTAATATGGCATTTATAGGGACTCAACCCTAAACCCTAAAAGCAGGCTTTGGCAGTTTAAAATACAGATCCCTTAAAAGGGAAACCCACAACCCTAAACCCTAAACCCTAAACCCTAAAGCCTAAACCCTAAACCCTAAACCCATAATCCTAAACCCTAAACCCTAAACCTTAAACCCTAAACCCATAATCCTAAACCCTAGACCCTCAACCCATAATCCTAAACTCTAAACCCTAACCCCACAATCCTAAACCCTAAACCCTG